GTTTTTCTTTTTTTTTTTTTTTTTTTTAACGATTTACTCTCGATATTAAATTCAAAATAACAAATATAATTTTTAAAACCAACCACAATTGGCTCTCAAATTCTCATAGTGACTGAAGCTCAACTTTGAAACCAAACCTCGACCGGTAGGATCAAACGAATATAGAAAAGAGAGGAAATAGGTCCAGAATTAGCTTCATATCGAACTTGATATGAATCCAACCATTAATCCATTATATGCACCTGAATGAGTAATTAGAAGAAGCAAGAAAAAGAAACCGAAGATACCTCTACCTTACATTTTCAAAGGCCAATCAACCTACGTAAAGACAAATTTTTTAACCCAAATATCTTTATAATATCAGTATAAAATGTGTCACACAAATCAGTATATTAGTATATTAAATCAAGAAGAGAATAATATGAATCGAGAAAAAAATGATTAAGAAGAGAATGAAATGAATTGAAAAAATGGTAAGAATTATGAAGTAGAGTATGTGTGGCAATAAATATCACTCACATTTTAGAAAGCTTTTGAAAGACTTTTTTTTTTTTGTAACTATTGATGTTTTATTTTCTTCCCTTTTTATTTAATAACTTTTAATTCATAGTAGTTGGAAGCGAACTAACATGGAGGAAATATTCAAGTTTAATTATCATTTTCAATACAAAATATTGTGTTTTATGAAACATTTTAGTGATATCAACGACCTTAAATTTCTTTAGTTGTCCTAAGATTGCTACCATACATATAACCTTAACATCTAAGGCGGAATTAACTTTCTTGAACTCTTATCATAATTTCAACATAATGCAAGTTGATTTATTACCTTGGAATAAAATCAATACAAAGAAAATAAATAAAGGAAAACAATACCGAATGAAATGTCCTATACTAACCTATATACTATTTAAATGGAAATACAATTCAACCTATACTAACTTATACTACTAATGGAATCCAGATTTGACCTGTTGGGCTTCGTCTTCTTCCATCGAATTTCTGCGATTTTCTTTGATGTATTTTTCACTCTTCTGTAAGAGTCATTTCGGCATTTGTTTTCCCCCTATTTTCTTTTAGTTTTGCGCCATCTCTCCCCCCACTTCCCCTTTCTCGTGTTTGTTTGGCTCATAAAAGGTCTAAACACTCAGATCTAAAAACCCGAAACCCTATCTTCTTCTTCGATGATGTACGATGTGAATGGAGTGTCGAAACTTGCAACTTGTGTTTGCACAGACCTTGGTGGTTCTTTTTGAGGAAAAACCTTGGAGGTTCCGACGTTGGTTCTTCTCTGTTCACACTCGCTGGCGAAAGTTACATATCTTTCTTTTCCTTTCTCTCTCTCTCTCTCGTACTCTCACTCTACAAGTGTTCTGAGGCATGACTGAAGACTGAGCTGGGGAGTGGAGATCTGTGGGCATCGGCGAGGCGCTCGCCGGAGTTTTCAGGTCTCGCTGAAGATCTCAGTGATTTCTGATTTTTTTCGATACCTTACATTTTCTTGTTTAAATCTTGCTTTAGGTTTGAAGTTAAACTAATTCCTTTTTATTAGTCTTTATCAAGCTAATAATAGGGTGAGTCGTCTTGGAATCTAAGAGTGAACATCATAAATTCAAAGTTCATCTGAGAGTTATTCATCTTTTAGCTCTTGGTTGGAATCATTTGTTAAAAGTTAGTTTTATTTGTGAAAGTTTGCAATGATCCTAAAGGACCTCTAGCTTTGCAAATCCAGCATTGTTGGTGCTTATCATTCTTGACGAACCTCTACTTTCAAATCGAAACTACTAACTGAACCTCAGCTTAGGAACCAAAACTCGACAAGCAGGATCAAACGAAGATGACTAAAAAAATTTACTTACTTCAGCTTATGTCAACAAAGTAGGTGGATTTATTGTTAGAATGCTTTCCATCTTGATTGAATGACTTAAGTATGAAGGACACTTATCCAATGGCCAATGGCACATCGATACAATTGATCTATCGCCAAACTTCAGGTTTCCAATGAGCTTCTCATCAAGCTTCTTGAACTTTGTTCGATCTTCGGTCATGTGTGCTTGCTCTGTTGTCTAGGTACCACATGTTGGTTTTCCCTCGGTCTTCTCCTTTTGTGAGAAGGTTCGCCATAATCTTCTCTTCATTGAGCATCAATACGTTGGGCATCTTCTCGCCCAACATCAGTATAGAATCTTGATCATGTGTGAATGTGAGGTTTGCCTCCTCATACTCTTGTCTGTTTAAGGGTTGACATTGTCATGGATTTGTGAGGTATTGTTACTGTAATGACCCGAAATTTTCTACTTAATTTAAGGTCGCTACTGTATACATACCATAAACATTGAATGCGGAAGACTTCATTTAAATTCCATAAAACATAACCTTTAACTTAAAACACAGCCATGGACTTACGTGTTTCGAAAACATCTTTAAAATGACACAACAAAAGACTCGAAATAAAATAAATAAGCGTTTAAGTTTAAAACATCCTATTCTATCCTAAGTCTAAGATAATAAATGTCACTATCCTATGCATGTTTCATGATCTTGAGTTGCGATGTCGTCGTCAGCCGTACAGGAATGTCTTGCCTTAACCTGAAAAATGTAGTAGCACATGGCTTGAGTATTTAAAGAAATACTCAGTAAGTGACCCCACTATTGGGGTTAAATGCAACAATCACATGCAATGAAATGATGGGACCTATCTTTCATTTCGTTTCGTTTCGTTTCGTTTCGTTTTCCCTACGGTGTAATCCTAACAGGTAATCGTGGACGTGTACCATATACTCTACACGCAGCCCATACGTGCGAGTATGGGCTCACGAGCTAGTTCGCACACCGCTGGGCCACTGTCCCTAGCCGGTGGGCATGCTCTGGGGGCCCACCGGGACCCGATAAAACTAAAACCGTCACGGCAGCGCTATGCAGGGCATAACGATCGTTGTCTTGCCATTTGGATGTACGCATCCGTACCCTCGTGATGGGATAGGGGTATCCCCCCAAATGCATGATCACACAATATGCATGAGGTCCCACTAGTCCTACAGTCATCATTTAATGAACATAACCCCGTGTCATGTTTTCATGCTTACATGTCATTCTCATTCTCATTTCGTTACATATCATACATATTCCTAGCGGGGTTATGTATCATGCAATTTACCGTATTTCATGTCATACAATTCA